ATAACCTAGAACATAATTCAATATCCAATTCCACAATTCAATGTCTTTTCCCTCGCTTTTTGTTCCGTTTAGTTCTTCTTCTCTTTTATTCAAGTTGAATATTTGGTGCTGAATGATGAAATTATCCCCAAAAGTTCATAATTAGGAATGTGGAACATATTATCAGAGAAAATTGGGGGTAGCTTCATTATTTCTTGAGGAAAAAGGTCGCTCGAGGAAAACTTACTATTTTTTCAGAAACATAAAACAGAGTTTCTTTCTTTAAAAATACATGTTCCGTGTATTTTTTTTACCAGGGTTGCGATGGTCATTTCGCTCGGGCAATTGGATCGAGTAAAAAGACCAAATTGCTCCTCAAAGTTCTAGACCATGGAGTATGTACTCTTTAAGGAAAGGAACCTTGATATGTGTTTCCAAAATGAAACAACTTGGGGTAAAATGGTAAGTTAGCCTGAGCAGCCTTTTTCTCACAAAATAATGAAGTTGCCCCCAATTTTTTAATGTTATGAGTGCCAAAAATATAGTAATTTTTTCATTTGGCACCCGGTGCATTGCCTATGTGAAATGATGTAAATACCTCTCAACAAAAAGGGCTACTTTTGTCATTTGGTTACAGCCACTTTGGGGGGTTAAATACCGAAGCACCCCTGATTGTTATGTTTTATGAAAATTGAGCAAGAGTTTTTTTTGGAAACTTTTCAAAACAATTCTGGAAACATACCTGATTAAAATAGAAATTCAAATTCAAACCTTCAATTGTAATTTACGATCTTTTGACTCTTTCAGTGATATTGTAAGGATTTCAACCTTTTATATATACATATAAAGCAATGATCTAATGCAATGGTTGTTTCATAGTATAATGCAACGACACTTTTAGAAAATCATGTTTTTTGGTATTTGTATGACTCCAAATTTTACACACACACTCTCTTCATCTCAATAATCAATCCCCAAAAAAAAAACAAGTTCAATTTGAACCCTAGATATGATTAAAATGAGTCCCCTCCAAAAACGAATCTAGACCATTCGTTTTGTGAATTTCAAGATATTAGTCTTTATAAACTCAAAATCATTTTTTTATTTTTTAACATTATTCATATAATGATAATAAAGTTATCTAAAAAAATTGGAATGAAAAAATCCTTCTAATGCCTAGATCTAAACATCTCACCAAAATAAAGGGCCTATGTTAATTGGATTAAAAAAATATTTTCTAGGTTGTGTTTTCAATTTGTTCTTTTTTTTGTGATTGTTCATTAGAATGAAAAGAGTGTAT